GTTACGTGATGGAGAGACCAGCAGTTTGGACATATATCAGATCTACCTAGGCTGAAAGCTTGGGAACTGTCTTTAACTCAAACAGCAATAGCCTACCGGCTTTACCGCGTATTACAAAGTCATTGTAAAAGATGGCTTTGTACAGTCTGTTTCTTGCTTGCCCAGTCTCCTCCTACCCCCCACCCCCCTCAAGAAACTCATGTATTGCAAAGCATTCAAGCAGGAAAGTGAGTTCTGTGGTGGACGAGGTTTTGGTCATCGTCTTTTAGAAGCCCAGGCTGCTGGTTTTTCTCAATTTGTGTCATATACGCAATGTTAAAAAGGCAGCACAGGCACAAAAAAACAACTCACCACCCCACATAAAAAAAAAGAAAAGTTAGAACAACTGACCATACATCATACTTTGGATTTAGTTGTCAAATTCATAAATCCTGCAGGTATAATCCTGCCTCTGAAGCACTGGAGATCCAAATATGGTACTGAAAATGCTTCAGCTTCCTCTCCTCTCCTTGTGACAGAGGAGATGAGGTATGAAAGTTCAGAGGAGACAGCAACAGAACATTGAATGTTTTGAAAAACCTGTCTTTTTTCCTTAAACTTTTGCTTTGCTTGAAAACAGCGGTGGTTCATTTAACGGTAACATTACAGATCCAAATTTACTAATTTTTAATGTGTTCAGAAAGACAAGCGTAACTTTGCAGGGTCAACAAAATCTACATTTATTACCAGTTTTTGTAAATAATTTGTTTAACTTAGATAATGTAACTGGGACTAGGGGAAAACTGTCATCTTGCAGGGCAATGGCATAGTCTTCACTGCCAACAGACTCAAATCATCTGCCTGACTGAATAATACTATGGAGGCTTCAGTTCCCAAAATCATTTCCAGTAAATCCACCCATGAAAATAGCTCATTTGGGTCTCACAGTAAATCACAATTTCATAATTTAACTCATGTCAACAGTAACATATTAACTGTTTCTACAGCAATGAAATAGACGGACAAGAATCAGAAACTGGGAACCCAAGTTTGGAGCTTGTGTATCAATTGTCACACAGTGATCTTTTTATGAATATTTCTTCTATATTAAACAGACCAGACTGATGTTTTACACATGTTCAAAAAAGGTTGTGGTTTAAGCATATCTGTCTGCTGTTATTTTAAGCTACCAAAAACAATGTCAGCAGTTCAGCCAGCAAATCTGATGATATACTCCATGTACCAACTGGACTGTCAGAAAAGAAAAACAAGTCTTTTATTTTCCACGGTCAATTCTCACATGCTGACGTTATGCACGTTTTATTTCAAAAGAGTCAAGCCCTTCCAAGCTCCATTTTTTACTACCGCCTCACATTTCCCTTTAGAGAGGATGACACATGCTGTAAAAACATCTTTAAATCAAGAAATCAGTACAGCCATTTCTCCTGAATCATTTCTTTTGATAAACCTTGTAATTCCCTTGGTACTTGCTAAGTATTTTGCCATTGATTTGGTTGGTAAGAAAAGGACGGTATTTGTACTACTGTGTTTTCATTGAGGGAAGAATTAACCAAAATCAAAATGCAAAACAGAAGCTAGGGATTTCCATATTAAATACAGAAACACAGACAATACTAGGCCTATATGTCAGTTTGCTGGCCTATTTACTGTAGTGGATAACATTTCAACTCTAACTCAGACTTGCCTCTCCCCCAAAATACATTTTGTTTTCCCAAACACTTGCCTCTCCCCCAAAATACATTTTGTTTTCCCTTACAAAATGTGTAAGAATCTGAGGCATACTCTGCCAAATATCTTGTAAGCACATAGAACATAATACCTCAGAGAACATTAGGAAAAAAACCCAATACTGCTATACAGTTTTATACACATCCCAGAAAAACAATACAGCATAACAATAACAAACAGTATGGATTTCTACTTAATTAGGACAGTAATTTTTCTTAAACAGGATGCCTGCATGTGATTAAAGGATACTCATGCAGGGCTGTTGGACCTGGTGACTATTGGAAATCAGTACTCTTTTTCATTCCCTTTGATGGCCTTTCCTAACACTGGTTCAACAAAACAAAGTAAGTTCAATGATCCTTTCAGAATGCTATGTAAGTTATATTGACAATTTGAGTGAATCCATCTATGGTACAAATTTCTTTGTGAATTCTGCACCTGGAACCAAGCCCTAGGAAGTCAGCATCACCATGTATAATTCAGTGTTATAAAGTACAAGCACCTCTCATTACCCTTTAACGCCAACACTGAAGTACCACAGCAACACACCAGTACCTCAGCAGTACGCTGCATCTGACGACATCAGATTGTCAGGTGCTTACACCACCACAGCGTCATCCATACTGACCTCATCCATTGTTCTGCACATCTCCGAGGCCCCTGCTCCCCTGCCCCATCACTGGCTGCCACAGTGCCCCTCCCGCCCCTTCCTGTTCCCAAAGGGTGGGCAGCGACTCTATCCCATCAGCAGAGAGGGAGGCACTGCTGATAGTTCATGGAAACTTTCCTTCTTCTAGTCCATCAGCAATACTTCGTGCCATAGAGACGCCTTTTCCGGCAGTAGTATCGTTAAAGGATATCATCCATCGGCGGTGCCAAAACCAGACAAATCAGGGGAGGGTTAATAAAAATTATTTACAATGTTTGAATCCTACCTGGGACTAGCAAAACATTTGATGAAAGAGAAAAGTTAAGTACAGATTTTCAAGCCTTCTGTTTATGATCAACTTAAGGTTCTGGCAAAAGTGGTTTTTTTTCTCGTTAAGAAAATGGACAGAAATGTCAATGGCAAATTCAGCTTTGCATGGCAGAATTGCTCTCTGTGCTTAGAATACAGCTCAGATTACCCCCATATCCAAGCTGGCTCATTCATGGTTAAAGGTAAAGATGTCATCAAACTACTCAGTACTACACCACTTTCTCTGAAATGCACGATGAATTGCAATGAAGTGTTTTTACATCTTAAAAAGCCCTCTTTTTCCTTTAAAAAAATTTATTTCCACATTTTCATAAGACATCTTTTGTTGACATTCTGCAAACAATACTATCCAATAAGGTGCCAATTTTTTCTTCCTGCGGAGTAACTTTGTACATCTGCAGAAAAAAAGAACAAGAAAAACTTAAAAGCTGTATAAGGAAGAAAAAAATTGATCACATATCTTCTAAAAATATGTACACAAGAAAAGATTTGCCCCCTTCCCCCATTTTTGACATTGGAAATTCCTATCTTGTCGTGACTGGAAGACAAAATCGGGACTGAGCAACCAAGCAAATTCTGCAAGACATAAAGGAAAGCTAAGAAACTGAATGAAAGCAGCACTTTTAGCTCCACGTTATATGCTATGATGATTTGTCCAATTTTATTCATATGTCTCCCATCATTACTTTGACAGACATGATCAAGATGATTAAAGTTACTTGAATTTTACCAAGAGAAACACATATGCTTTAAGATACCTATCTAGCATATGGTAATCCGTTAAAAGCACACATGCCCTAACACAGTTCCTAGCAGCTAATCAACACATTTTTATTTTAGCCGCCCATGCTGGGACTATTTATGTGTTTAAGATTATGAAAGTGTTCGGGACTGAAAATTTATTTTTAATTAAATGGATATTTGCCTGAGAAAACAGGAAGCAAAAGTGTTTGAGTGGTAGGCAGCAATCTGGAATTTATTTTTATGTTCCAACTTCCTGACAATGTTAAGAATTTGAAGACTTAAAATTTGTGGTGTTGGGGTGTGACAACTAGAACTTTTTTCAAGTAAAAAAATTGTAATAAAGAAAGGTTCACTTAAAACCAGTTTCCAGTTGTGCTAAAGAAATACAGACCCTAAGTTAATTATGTCCATTGATATTTAATCAGATAACTGAATAAACTATCCCTTTTCTCTACGCCAGTCATCTCTTTTGGCCACATACCTTTTTAACTTTGGCAGTGTCTGTTAGTTGGGGGAGTTCATCTAGAGAAACCTGTTGGCCTTCTACCTGAGATGCTATATCTTCCAGATTTATAGTTTTTTCTCTGTCCTCAACCAGAACAATGAGTACTGCTGTGTCACTGTCCGAAATGCCAAACTTTTTAAATGCATCTGAAATCTAAGAAAAGATGGAAAATATCAAAATACTATGAGTTACTTTCTCACTACATATAAGCAACCTTTTCAGTTACTGGGTCAAATAAACCAAGAGTATAAATTGACACGTTTTACATTAATGGAATTCTGACAAGCTACAAGAGGTAACAGCATATTAGTGTTACTAAAAATAACAGTAACTTCTATTAGTAGCCAGGTAAACAGTTAAGTGAATACGTATATTTAGTTTGGCTGCATGTATCTTTGCAAGCTTCTCTGGCAAGAAAGACATTTGTTCAGTAACTCTTACATTGTTGTTTGGTGAAAGGCTGAAAATAATTTCTGCATAGAGAGTTCTGGTCTTCATTTTACCTATCTTGTGTAGATGAACTGCTTTGTTGGCCGCCACAAGAATTTGAAAAGGATCTACAATCTGTAAAACACAAGGGAAGAAGTTAAACAGGAATTTAACATATTATTTTGAACTCTGAAAAAATCCTGACCACTTAATTTTGATAGCCTAAGTAGAAGTGAGCAAAACAGTGTTCTGCTAGCTATTTTAGCAATTCTTGCTCTTCCAAAGTCAATGTGATTATTTTCTGCGTGGGGCAATACTTGACCTAAAAATAAAGATACACTCTCTCAATCAGATTACTGAAATATTTTGAAAAAAGAATCACATTAATAAATCTTGTCAGTAAATTGCCAGATTAGGTTCTTTTTTCTTCCCCCTTCCCTAGCTACTGCTTTGCTAATTCTAACAAAAAAGACTAGATTCAGAAACAAGTTATGGGTTTAAATGAGAACTAAGGCTCCAAATAGTAGATTTTTGATAGCATTAAGCAATTAGTACTACACTTCACATATGGAAGAAGATTTAAATAGGATGTGAAGTGAATCAAGACGACAATTGTTTTGGCCAATCCTGCCAAGGCTCCTTCTTTTACACAGATGAACCCTTAGCCGTACGACACTAATGAAATCAAAGGAGGGGCATTTGTGCAGAGAAAGCGAAGTACGAGTGCAGCAACTCGTGTGACAGCGATTACAAGCACAGGTCGTTTTTCAGAGTTCCCACGCAGAAGGATTTCCACGCTGCCTTCAAACAGTAAGGCAGTACAAACAGGACAACACAAGCGTTCACTCACCATTGCCGGGTTTATTAATGCTCCTTCAATGGCCCCTTCCATGGCTTTTTTCCTTAGAGCAGCGGCATTTTTCAGGCGGTTGAAGAGGAGGAGAGCCACGCTGCGGCCCGGGAACAGCTCCAGCTGGTGCCTCAGCTCCATCTCGGCCCGGCGGCGCCGGCAGCGCCAG